TTTACTACTCTGCGCAGCCAGGAGTGGGTATGAGGATGTTGTTCAATTCCTTGTCGATATGTGCGCAGACAGCTCTATCTCTCTATCTGCTGATGCACAGGGCCGCAATGCACTTCATCATTGCCTGTATGACGACAAAGACTTTGTTCTACATCCAACCCCAGAATTGGTTCGAGTGTTACTCAAGGCAGGTGTAAACGCCAATCATCAAGATCGCGATGGACTAGATAGTCTGGCCTGGTATGCAAGCAACCTTTTTTCGAATGCGGAAGTGGAGATCATGGAGCTATTGATCACTCACGGCGCCAACTTGAATTACAAAGACCAGAGTGGACGAAACGTGGCTCACCTTGTCATGCAATGTGGTGTCGAATTCGACTTAGATGTACTCCTGATGCTGCTCAAATACGGTGTGGACGCCCTAGAGGTTGACTACGACGGTCGAGGCATCGTGCATCACGCAGCAATATCAGGCAACATAACGGTTGAGCTGTTGTCCTGTCTGAGTGAGTCATTGCATCTGAACATAGCTTCCTTGGACGCATTTGGGAAGAGTGCCTTTGACTGTGCCAAAGATACGGGTAGAGAGATTGCCAAGAAACCTTGGGGGTCCAACATCTTCCGCGGGAACAGATGGAGGGACACTGAAAAAGCTTTCTTACAATATGCTCGGGAATACTGTATCTGAAAGTATTCCGGCACAAAATAGGTGATCAATTCAAAGTATATCTAGGCGATAAAGAACATGCAGAAAAGTCCTACTAGTCTAGTAGTGAGAGGTCACTAACCAACTGTTGCCTCATTTTGCAAAAGACATGTAATTATTCTTTGCCCATCAACGAGAGCGTGGAACTCCACGACTTTGACCATCCACTGACAGGATCTCGAGCTTGTTTGGCTGGTGATCTGGTCTATCATTATCAAACTTACCTTAATACTGAAGAAAACCTTTACCTCATGCCGCAGACACTATCCACAACAAGCAGTACACATTTTGGTCTTTGGCATCAGCATCACTGTGGTATTGGCTGGCGTGGAGGTTCGATCGTGCTTTGGGCAAACATGCTGGAGTTCTGGAGTCCTTCAGCTGCAGGTAGCTGATGTAGGTGTAGGTTTGGACACCGTGGAAGACGGCTATCTTACCGAAGTCTCATAGGATTGGACCTTTCCATTAATATTGGACGTCGCGAAAGTTCGGGCACAAATGAGGTCGGGTACCGGTTTATCATCTTATTTCAACAAATTCTGCACCTGCTTCTCAATGTACTTCCGCAATTTCTCTATGCTACCATGATAACCTGCAGCGCAGGCGAGAGTCTCGGAATGTTGAAGCAACCCACTGACTTTTGGAAAGTTTTTATCGCATGTCGGGCATCGATATTTGTCCTCATCTTCCAGCCGTTGGTATAGAGGTGACTTTGATAGCACTTAAACGCCCATTCATCGATATCGTTTTGCGTAACCCCTGAAGGACAAGTTGTTGACTCAAGATGAATGAGGATTCCAGATGGGCTCTTGAACCTGCCAGTGCAGCCGTAACATTCCTCCATTCGAGGCGCGTGCGTCTTCACGTGCTTTGAGAGAGGCGTCAACAAGAATAGCTTTCAAGGTCAAACGATGTTGCTAATAACTTACCATCAAGACCTCATTCGAGTTCACGTATTCTCCATGGCAAATTGAGCACCGGTTGTGCCGCCCGATACGCTCTTCGTAGTCGAGGAAATCTAATTCGCAATCGTAGCAGAATAAGTGTTTGGATTCCAGATGAGAGCGAAGATTTGCTTCCTCTAGCTCATCGTTGCCGCATTTTGAACAAATCCAATGATTGGACGAATCACGTAGATGTTGTTCCCGAGCCGCTGGAGAGACAAACAGCCACTCGCACCTCTCACACCACTCGCCGTTGTGGCAGTATGCATTTCGACAATGCTGAAGCAATGTTGCTTCTGTATCGAATTGTCGGTTGGTGCAAGAATGACAGACAAACACCGCCTCTTCAACTCCAATCGACGCCTGATTCTCTTTCACCATTTCCTCAAACTTTCATGGTCAAAGCGAGGAGTGTGACGAAAAAGAGGAGAAGCTATGTCTTATCCCTGTGGCACTCATGTAAATGAGACAGAGTGCCACCACCCCCAGAGCCCCAAAATGTGATAAGCTACGTTATTGGCTATGCCAAATGAGCGCTTACGATTTCTGCACCACTTGTCGTCCTTTGATTCGCCGATATATATAGCTCAAGTATCGTCGCATGACCGACCTCGAAACATACGTGCCTAGGTGGTGGCCGCTACGGTCGGTGCATGGTTGAATGCCTGCCAGTACACCTCTTGCTGTTTCTATGAACTCGGACAACCAAGGTGAGCGGCACTTGCCTTGTTCGAGAGAATTCATTGAGCAAAGGAGGTGTGAAAGAAGATCTTATTGATTGATAAAGTGTGATAATTATTCAGGCGTGCTATCAATAGCCCAATGCCAGCCACTTCAACACGCATCAATGTCCTATCTCAGGGAGTGGCCGGTACCGTCATCTCCATCCAAGAAAGAAATCACATTATCCAATACATTATTCTCCGAGAAGTCTACGTAACAGCTGTACTGATTCATGCTCAACTTAGGCAGCCGACCGAATGCAATAGGTCTACTGGGTTTAGCAGCGAAAAGATTTCCGCTAAGGGCCGGTCCGGTGAATAAGGCCGGAAAGACGCACTAAGTGCTACCTTAACTTCGACTTAGGGGCTGATCGGCGAAGAATACCCACATTACGAACTTAAAAAGACTTAGAATCTCCCCTACATTGGCCCGCACTCTCAGTACTTCTTGAGATACCCCGCTGTTGTCTGCGTCAAAAGCATCAACATCAAACTACTTCGCGATAACCAATTTTGAAAGGGCTGAAAAGAAATGGAAGACTCGATGGTATCTTTTAAGGAAATGTGGGGACGAGTGTGCAGATTGCGAAACAAGCAACGTTGTGTAAATGAATATGGCATTCCAAGAGGTGTGGTATACCACCCTGTCATTATCGTTGGGCGACGATTGACAGGCACGTACCAATGCATGTCAGTAAGTTGCGTCGACTTCGAAGTAGCTCAAAGCAGAATCTCACACATCCTTAGATCACAACCAAACCGCTCGATTTCTCCACCTCCTTACCGATCGCACCGACACCAAAAGGGAACGCTCGCGCCCAATTACACCTACGTTCCCCTGGCAGGATCCAAGACGGATTTTGGCCAGTGAGAATGTGGAAGAGCGGGAGTTATCTTCAAATCAACGAGAGTTACGATATACCTCGAGACTGGTTAGAGCCTGCTCACAACGACCAGTATGGGCAGGCACTTTACCTCAAAAGCGACTCTCTATCCCTATTGTCAGCAGTGGAAATGGGAAGAATATAGCTACATAGTGTGACTTTATGGCGACGATTCAGAAATCTTCGTACCATTTTGCAGAAATTGCAAACCAAATCTAGCTCTGCGAATTATATACCTGTTCCTGGAGGTTTCATTACGAATTCACCCCCATTGTAGGTCGATGACGACCCAGGTGATGGGTGAGTGACATCGATGCCGACAACCATAGTCTTAGCCTCAGCTATGATACCTAGTTGTGACGATTCCAGACTTTGGTTGATGCCACCCAATTTGAGGTTGAATTTGAGAGCCACATTGGTTAGGTAACGATAGTTTGCATTCGCAAATTTGGAAGCAGTGACACAGATGTTGATCAGCCCTTCTTTCACGTCACATGCGTATTTGACCCGATTATAGATTGCCGAGTCGACTGACGGCATGATGACAAGCACGAGCGTAGGCGGAGACCTACCAGGACTTGATGTAAATCTGTGAAATGCTCCGTCGATTGCCGATTCGACAGTCTCAGGGGTAATTACTGCTCGCAAGCCTCTCATACAAGCATTGCAATTGATACCCAACTCGAGCAGCTTAGAGGTTAGGGCTGTCACGCAAGGTTGCAACTCTCCTTCATTGGCCCAGTGATCGACTATTGACGGCGATGAAATCCAAAGATATGTCCACGATTTCAGTGTTGCTTTAGTGGTAAATTGAGCCTTCCCCATGTCCCAACTGCCAAATCTGGTAGGGATGGACTTTTGTGCTCCGTATGTTACGCTGGGAGACGATAACACACGACCCGGAACGGTTATCAACCTAGGTCTAATGTTGATATTAAATTGGTCCTTGTAAAACTTAGTAGAAGTTATGAGGAGGGTAAGATAGACACTCTTGGAAAGGTCTTACCAGCGTCGAGCTCTCGATACCCAGTATCTGCGCCCCTGATGTGACAATGGATTGTGCATTCTGTGCTGGTTTACGGACCGCAAACCGGATCATTTGCTGCGTCTGGAAAGGGCTCAATTGCACGTTCGAGGCCTGACTGGGGATGACCAGACAGACCTGGGCGGGTAGATAGGAGGGCTTTTCTCTCGAACCGACATTGAAAACTGGTAAGTGAGGGTTCTTGATGATGATGTTGTGTTCTAGTGACCATTAGCATAAGGTCCCATGATTGGAAGGCTTTCCACACCGGAGGAGAAAAAGTCGTAGACGCTGATGTATCGTCCATTAGGAGGAGCCACCGGGCCTAACTTGGGCGCCTTCTCTTATTCTTAGCGCCAGCACCTGGCCTAGCTGTGGCGGCGGACGACGATTCGCTCGTGCTTTCTAGCCAAAATCTCACATCTTTCGGCCCAGCACCGTATCCACCTACAATGGGTGGATGACATAAGGCGACACCATCATTCTTGGTGGCGACCCCGGTGATAACCTTGAATCTAGGTATTTGGCGACCAGCGCTGTTCCTCCGAATGATGTGAGTGACGTTGATCGAGAGCTGTTTGATGAAGTTAGCAATTTTAACAAGGTTGTGTCTATTACTCTCCAAATAAGCGGCCATGAGTCGTTCGAGGGGGCCATCTTCACAGAAAGCCCCGTTATCAAGAGTAGACGACCAGTGCGGCTCGAACACTGATGAAAAATCCCCGGCAGTGTCATTCGGTCAGATGCTGCCGCGGTCAGCCCATAATGCCGGTTCGCACCGACGGATGCAATATGAGATGCTGCTTTGGGATGATGTCCAACAACCATGTTCAACCCCTGGATGATCTCTTCTCTGGACCCAAACAAACCCGTGGCATTGGTTGAGGTTAGGTCATCCAACAGCGCAGAGACAGTCAAAGAACCAGTGCGCAGGAGGCGGATATGGTAGTGTCTAGCATTAGACGGGGCATCGTCTTCGCCCTCGACCCGATACAAGACATCGTAGCTGTCGTCAGTGATGTCAAGCTCGGTAGAACTAACAAGATTTGACTTGAAATCCGTGGCAATCCGCGTGGCGTACTGAGAAAGAT